CACCGCCATATGTCTTCCTCAACTCGAATATGTGTTTGTGATCTTGAATGGCTTTGCTAAATTTGGCGGTGATGCCACTGAGCGAGTGCAGAAAAAATTCATATGCATTTAGAATCATCGTTTCGCTAGAAATAACTCTGCACCTCGTTCTAACAATGCCAGATTATTATCATTGCCATCACTTCACTGTCAACGAAATCGCGCAGACCTATTATTTCTTTACAACCTTGTTCATATTATGCTATCCTGCCCTCTACTTCTCAGTGGTTGACTTTTTTGGAATCCCCGTAAGGTAACCAGAGTCAATCGACCATTTCATGTACCTGCCAACTTCTTTCAACACTCGACTGTTCATAAAAAACAAAGTATATATATAATGTGAACTTTCATGATCTGGATGTTTTTCACAGTCCAGTGTCATTGTTCTTCCCTTTCCGTCTTTCAGGAATGTTTTTCCATATATGTGTATACTCTCCCTTATTTTTCACTTTCTTTCTAAGATTATTGTCTTGTCGTTTTATTCTTCCCATTTTGCACCGATTTGTTTTTTCTTTGTATTTTCACTGTTTATTTGATTTTTCTGAAGAGTGTTTTATTGTTTTATATGTAGTGTTAATTGATAATTACTGTTTTTATTATTTATTCGTATTGTATTATTTTTGCATGCACCTTCTCTTAGACCCCACGGTTGTTCCAGGGCACGTTAAATATATGATTGCTTAATTTATTAATTGATTGATACCTTATTGTACACATACATGCGAATCACAAAAAACGGGTCTGTCTACCCCTCAGAGGACTTGTGTGACTGCGCTCAGCAGAGCTTGATATGTGGGGTTTAACATCCCATAACCACCATATGATTACGAGAGACGCCGAAGTGGAGGGCTCCGGTAATTTTGACCACCTGTGATTCTTTAACGTGCACTGACATCGCACAGTACACAGACCTCTACCATTTTCCCAGCTTGGATCGAACGCGTGGAATTCAGGTGAGTATCAGAGTACCCTATAGCCTCTGATCCACCGGGCTTGACTTTGTCGCTTTGTCACTTAATTTACATTATATGGAACTGCGCTCCAATAACGTATGTGAGACTCGGAAAAAGGTTCAACAGTACACTATTATCAGTCGTAATTGTGACGGAACAATATAAAACACCTACAAGCAGCTTTATACTAGTACGTTTCTATACTAGTCGGCAGCTTCAATGTAAACAATAATGACCTTTCCTCATAGCTTCGACCACTTGCCATCAATCAATTCGTGTGTGTGTGTGTGTGTCTGTGTGTGTATGTGTGTGTGTGTGTGCACGTGCGTGTGTGTGTGCATGTGTGCGTGCATGTGTGTGCATGTGTGCGTGTGTGCGTGCGTACGTGTGTGCGTGTGTGTGTGTGTGTGTGTGGGTGGGTGGGTGTGTGGGTGGTTGGGTGGGTGTGTGTATGTGTGTTTAATTTGCTTTTTGAAAGTACGTGAGGCGGCGAATAGCCATGACCTCGACGTATTCAGTAGAAGGCCCAGTCAACCAAACTTTTGATTTAGATGAAAAGTTATTCCTTCTCCTTTTACATTTTCCGATTATTTTCTCCATAATTTTCCTAAAGACAGAGGCTCTAGTACCGTTTAAAGTAGGCATATATTACTGGAGTAAATATTAACGCGTGTTCCTGAACGCTTTGCTGTTGTAGGATGGCGCGTAGGATATTTTTCAGCACTAAGGTTCGTAGCAACTACATAATCATTACTCTATCTGGCGTTTTACGTCTAAACCCATAATAAGATTTTGATACGCCGGGTGAAAGAGTGAGGAAATTTTAGCCCTCTGATGTTCTTTAACGTGCTCTGAAATCGCAGAGTAGGCGGGCCTCTAAGATTCTGCCTCTTTCGATTTGGGACCGACACCGCCTGGTTAGAACCTTCGGGTCAGCAGCCGGCCAGTATTCCACTGAGGCAGACGCAGGTACAATGTGTATCGTTTCTGCAAAGTGTACCAGTTTACGTCATTCTTTTACTTCTGCATGAGGTCTTGTCTACTTGAAGGCCGCCGTGGTGGTGTTACGCTGCTCACCTGCTGATCCGAATCCCGACTGAAACCGAAGTATTTCTGTAGAGGTGGACTGCTAGGGTTCTGAGCACTGTGTGACGTCAGCACGCGGTAATGAACACCCGATGGTGCAAATTTCCTTAGCACTTCACTACGGCGTCTCTCATTTCGGGACGTAAAACAACAAATAGTACTGTCTTTCTCAAGGCTACAAGTTACAGTCTTCAATAAGACAAGGTCACTTCGTTGAACTCTGGCTCCAGTGACGTCCTGTTTTCAGGCAATTTTCATCTCTTTCAGCTTCCACCTACTCTTGAACTTCTGCCAATTTTACTATTCGTCTTTAATAAACAGTTAATGCATGCACCGATGATGACTGTTACATACAAACATCATCCACTTACAGGTGTGCCCGTGCAGATCAATCCTTCAATGTTCGAGAACATAAGGGTCTAATCAACACGCACGGGCTTTCCTTTTTGTGCTTGTTTTTCAGAAATAATTCATAATTTGAATTGCCTGCTGGAACAGCTACTCTGCGCGTTTAGCACTTTTTTATGTGGATGCTGCTTGATGTTTCCCTAGTTAGGTATTCTGTAAAGTTTCTGTCATAATAGTGTAAAATATGAACTTTTCCTGCCCTTTTGTAGCATTCGTACTGATCTACCGAAAATACATTGGACTACATGTGCTTCTTTTTTAACGCCAACGTATTTTATGCCGAGGAATACCAGAATTTCAGTGACGTATTTCTGTCCCCAAATTGATGTCGAAAACGTACACACAATCAGAAGACAAAAGTTTTTTAAATGGCAGTCGAACCCACTATCTCTCGGTCGATGACCACACATGCAAGCCATGCTATCCACTGCGCCTCGTTCACATTCTTTGTATTCTTGAAAGACCCGTCTTTCATACCTACCCCTTCACCAAGAAAACTCGCAGGGCTCTTAATAAAGTGAAGTAATGCATCATGACCACGACATCTACTATTAGTTTTTCAATGCGTCATTTGAAAGTAATTATTCGACAGAAGTCTGTCTGGTTGGGTATGGAACTGGGAGATGATTTAGACTCCAAACAAAAGTTTTGAAGAAACCCGACGCTTCGGAACCAGCTTGGTTCCTTCCTCAGGGGTGACTGCGGAGGCTACTAGCAGCGTCGTCTTCAAAGCACTCGCGGGGTGGCTAATGACCCCCCCCCCTCTCTATCTAGTTTTGCCGTGGAGTGCAGTTCATGTGAATACACTGGGGGAACGGTTCCGAAAGAGCGGTTGATATTATGGGCTGTCCTCTGTATGTGCCACGACTCGAGTAACAACCTTCTCCTCCAGTTCGGCTCGCTTTCAAGGATGGCCATCGCTTCGAAATTTATTTTGTGATCCAACTTCTCAGCATGTTTAGCGACTGCGCTGCGCTCTTTATAGAAATACCACACATCGTTGGCGTATTGTTTCAGTCGTTCCGGTAGGTTTTTCGTCTCGCCGATATACGACGAGGGGCACTCGGCACACGGAATTTTGTAAACGACACCGGGGCGCCTGTCTATTGTTGGCCGGTCTTTCGGGCGGGGGAGGATATGGCTCAGCGTACACGAAGGCACGTGCGCGATGCGAAGCCCTTCCTTTTTGAAGATCCGCGCTAACATCTCGCTGGTTCCCTGAACGTATGGAACCGTTACGCGTTTCGGGGGGCTGCCTATTGAGGTTGATTTGTGTTCTCGTATCCTCTGTTGCTCTGCGCGGCGGGTGGTGGCTCAAATGAAGTTTTTTGGGTATCCGTTTTTTCTGAGGTCAGCAATTACGCGGGCCTCCTCCTTTTTTCGCTCGGTGCCATTAGAGCATAAGTTTCTAGCTCTCTCGAGTAGCGTGGTCACAACCGAGGCCTTGTGGCAGGCGGGGTGGGAAGAATCAAATTGAAGGTAGCGGCCAGTGTGCTTTGGCTTTCTATGAACGGAAACCTCCAGGCCGTTGCGCTTTCTTGCCAACTGGACGCCGAGAAAGGGCAGGCAGTGGTCGCTTTCACACTCGGTCGTGAATTGTATGGCTGGGTGCACGGAATTTAGGTGTTGTCTGAAGTTCTCAACTTAAGCCGTCTTAATGACGCAAAAGCAATCGTCCACTTAACGCAAAAAAAGCTTGAGTCGTGGCGAGAAGGAGCTGAGTGCTTTCTCTTCCATGAACTCCATGGTCAGGATGGCCATCGCGACGGAGATGGAAGCTCCTATTGTGGTTCCACTGTTCTGCCTGAGAATAGTTCCTTTCTAGGAGAAGTACGTACTGGAGAGGCAGAATTCCAGTAGACGACAGAGCTCGTCAACCACCAAAGGAGTCCTTTCGCTCAGACTTGCGTCCTCCTCAAGTGCAGCACGGGCAGCGGAGACAGCTAAGGGAACTGGCACGCTGGTGAACAATGAAATGACGTCAAATGAGACTATGCTCTCATCATCGCCGATGCTTACATTTGACGCTAGCTGCATGAAGTAGCTGGCGTCACGGACATGAGTTGGTGTCTTTCGGGTTTGTAGGGCGAATATTTGGTGTAGAAAATTTGAAAAAGCTCCGCATGGGGAGGATGTGAAGTCTAAAATCGGTCGAAGGGAGTCTTACATATGTCACACTACATGCAAAGAAAATAGTGAGTGCTACACAAACATGTTATTTGGTGCTTTACGCAGTTATAATAAACTAACTAGCCAAAGAAAAAAATCATAATGGCGTAATGTGAAATAAAGGTACAAGTGCAGATGATAATCCCTCAACCAGATGGTTATGCAGAGTAGAAGCATGAACAAAATACACGGAAGCAAGCAACGTGGCAATATTTTAAACGAAAATTGCAACACACTTCCAGTATTTAGGAAACCTCATGTGCAGGCCCATTGTAGTGTAAAGTGCATGTGCTCAATAAGCTTTCATTCCATACAATAAAGTGTAAGTAGCATGAAATAGAAAGCATCTTTTTGCTAATTGTTTTAATCACTTGATCAGATAATGTTCATCTTTAAAAAATAATCATTCATCATCTGCGCCGTATTTTCCAATTGAGGTGTCTACTTACTGTAATTCCTAATAGTCTAATTAGAAACACTGGTGCATTTTAAACAAAAAGAAACACAATGCGTGCAGTGGTTATTTTGAAAAAGAAGGTAGCAGGTAGAACTTGTGTTTTGCAGTAGGCTCTTCACTTCTTCTGATAATGAACAATAGGGCTGTAACGAAAAAAAGCACAAATACAATTGTTAATTTAGTGTCAAAATTTTGGTAAGTGTTCGCTTTTATATTGATTTCAATTATATGCGCTAAAAGTGCGCACCCAGCAAGAACGTTGTACTACACACCAACCTCCGTTAATTAATTTTTTGTGTATATTACCAGGGCTTAGAAGGGATACTCAAGAAAGTATTGTGAAATAAACATTACGAGATGTCGAATGCACACTGCAACATATTCAACTAGTTTTAACTCACTTGCACATTGCAGGAGATGCCAAAGCAAACACCTGTTTCAGTAAAATGTAGCATTCTTCAATAATAAGAATGAACAAGCCGATAGATAGTAGTGGCATACCACATGCACATGCATCAACGCGGGCACCTACATGTCGAATGCGCTGGTGCCGGCGAAATGCCGATCGACGCAGTGCTCATTCGTGCTGTTGAAATCCATGTTTCTTCACGAATGACCATAAGAGTGGTATTGTGAAACCATGTTTCACTTTCATGTTAAACCAATTGTTATGAAAGAAAAATTAAGCTTTTCGCGCCTTCGCCGTGCTGTATTTTCATATCAGACGGGCATCACGCGAGTTGGACTAGTGCGATTTGGCACTTGAGCATCAGTGCTATAGGGAACGGTGATCCCATCTTTTCCACTCATCTTCGTCTTCCTCCGTTCCTATTACACAAGAAGGTGTACTTGGTAACTTAGAGGAGGTTCAAGCAACCATGAAACAGTACACGTACCAGTCTGGCACATTTGAGGCATCTTCGCAAGTGTAACTGTACTGACTGAAGGCCTTGCCGTATCCACAGCTAATCAGACGTGGCTTGTCGTTGACGCAGGTGATAAGGCGCGTGCAATCAGCCGGATGAGGATAACGTGGGTATGGGTAGAATTTGGCACCAGGGCCAGTCACCTTGTCGGGACACCGGAATCCCACGATCGCTGCAAAGTTTCACTCTCGAAAATAAACGGTCGCTTATCGACAAACACACACACAACCTTCAACACTTATGATGAATAGTGAGTTCATTCGATTATACGTATCCTTGACACATTTATATGACAATTATTTCAAAAGGAAATTATTATCAGAGTTTTCGTTTTTCTATGTAATTTCGCTCTTAAACATCACGTGACCTTCGATGCGTTGTCTCACATTTTAAAGTAATCTCACATCTAATACTCGCTTTGTTGAGAGTTGGGGTCCCCCAAGACATAATCTCGACAACTTTTGTCAATAAATGATTACGTAGGCCCTACCAAACGCCACCAAATTCCATGACGTCAAAGCAAGCTGGTGCGGGAACATCAAGGTGGTGCCGCCACCTGTATTACCTTGTGGCAATGTCCCAAAACTGAGGCACCAAAGCTTAGCGCCGCTTCCGCCGTCAATCTAAGGCCTATTTTCCTAAATGGCATAACTAGTAACCTTTTTCTAAGTACATCGTAGCGGCGACAATACAAAAAATAATGAAATTCTTGATAAGTGCACAGAACTCTTTCGTTTTTCGCTGTAGAAGAGTCCTTAGTCGTGTCCTAATAGTGATATGCCTGATAGCGAAAAAACTGCTGAAATTGCTGTTTTCTGTATACAGCACTAAAAAATCGCTTAATTTTGAAACACCACCCGCAAAGATCCCACATACCTAGGAATTGAGGTTATGCGAAGTATGCGGAGGGAAGGTGACCGTGTCCCATTTTTTATTGAGCGACACGTCATGAATTGACGCCAACTATATGTACAAATGCTGCACGCACAGACCTATGTTGAAGAGTTGCAGATGTTCATATAAGTACTTTCAACTTGCGCAAAGATGCCAACCGGAACATGCACATTAGAAATACCAGAAGCTGATATGAAGCATTGATGCTGGCGAGGATGCTAACCCTGGACACTGTTACATAAATTAACTTCAGCGTATGGTAACTAACCACAATTGACTTTAACCCGACGTGACGGCTGTATCAAAAGAGTACATATGTAATGTTTATAAAATTTGGTAGGCAGCAGCGCAACAACTATTGACATTTCAAAAAGATTAGCGCCTATTTGAAAAAAAAAAACGCCAGGCCTGCGTGGAAGGCGCAGCAGTCACAGCGAAAGCTAAAAGAGTGACCTTTTGAAGCCTTTTTCAAACACTTCTTGGGTAACTACTGCAAGCACATTTGCTTGATACTGTTATGACCCTCGTCAGTAGGCACCATGCTGTCCCTGAGAAACTTAGCCGGGCAGCGCTCTCACGCCTGGAAGCCCTGTTCTCTCGGAACCAGTGTCCAGCGGCGGGGAGACACAAAAGCATTAGAAGACGGTCCGTGAGCCCTACAAGCATTTCCTCCAGACTAACTTTGTTTGGGGAGACGGTGAGGCAGCCCAACCACGCAGGTAGTGACTAAGCAATAAAGTCTTTACTTCTTAGCTGCCCTTCAAGGGAAAGGCGGAAGAAACAACCCAACCACCAAAATGTTGCGGGAGAGAACACCATTTCCCCTCTCCTCAGTGAAACTCGGACCGGAAGAAAATTGCGTACAGGGGTGCGGCAACTATTCGTCGGACCGAGTGTATTTGACTGATGCTCTGGAGAGTGGTATCTTGTGTCTGTGTACAATTGGTGCTTCAGTCAAGGAGCAGAAGCCCGACAGGGCTTAAGAGGACGCTTGAAAGTGCTGGACGTAGCTCTGAGCCATGTAACGGTTCAGCCACCCCACTCATGGAATTGTGGAACTTCTAACCTCTCTATGCTGTAAATAAGTGTAAATGGTGCCATAAACTTGTTTGTTTTTCGTATCCCCATCTTGTCAGCGTTCGTTTCCTCCACCCGAAGTTACGACATGCTACCACAAGAGACCGGATCCGACGTAACCCGGACGTTCCGGTAACCCACGTCAGCGGGGAAGCGTTGGGTTAGACCCTAGTCTGCTGCAACTGGTTATCAGCGCTGGGATTCAAAGTGACTATTGGTGAACAGCACTGAGATCTGTGACAATACCCACTAGGGCATTATTAATAAAGTTTGGGGGGTAGTAGGCCGTCATTCACTATGCTATTTTTCTTCACTCTTCTGAGAAGCGTGGTATCTGCTAAAGACCTGCAAGATATTTTGTGCCAATTGTTCATGCAGCTGCTGACGACGTTGAGGAATTATAGCTAAAGTAGGTATGCGCCACAGTTAATAGGGGAACAAGAACCAGCTTTTGTGTTGGGTTGGAATATTGGACGACCTACTCGTTACGCTATTCGTATTGTGCGACGACTGATAGCGATTTCGCTGTTTTAAAACGCTTTATAAGTCGTAATAACACCATTGCTTCCCCGACATCAAGCCTGCCTAAGGCAAGTTTCCCACCAAGCCACAAGCACCAGCGTAGCTCAATGAAAGTCCACATAGCATTATGAAATCAAAGGGCATTCCCTCTTCGTCCACTATTGGCAGAAATCTTATACGATATGAATTTAAAGGGAAAGAATACGGTACTGGCGCCCAGTGGGCCCGGGTTCAAGCCGAACCGTGTCATTAGTGCTAGTTTTCTTTTTTTTAATTTCGCGCGATGTGGTTACGGACCACCAGCAGCAGCGACGGACAACTACACGTGACCCGAGTCGCGATCTCATAACAACTTTCGCTGTAGAAGTAGTTTCGAGACCTGGTGTAGCTCTATGGTAAAATGCTTCATTGCCACGCAGAATGCTTGGGCTTGATTCCACCTGGGACCCTGACATTTATTATCTGCACTCGTCTGGTCGATGCTATAGCGAGACGATAGTTATAGCGCGAGAACAAAACTATAACTATCGTCATGCCATACCAACTAGCCCAAGCTGCCACACTTCTAAGCTATAGCGAGGTCAGGCATTTCTTAACACTCACGCGTGGAAATCATCCATCTGTGTTCTGGTCGTTCCTTGGTAGATACTAAGTGTCATTTGCCTGTGTCACATACCCGCATACCAGTGGCACATACCCGCCCGTGGGTATGTGCCACGGGATTGTCACAATATAAATGTCTTGACCAGCGCGTCATATTTGTCAAACCATCCTACACTCCCATGCTGATTTGGTTGATGCCAAGGTAAGTGGGTGACTACGAGAGCACACAAACGTAAGCGCATAGATAGATAGATAGATAGATAGATAGATAGATAGATAGATAGATAGATAGATAGATAGATAGATAGATAGATAGATAGATAGATAGATAGATAGATAGATAGATAGATAGATAGATAGATAGATAGATAGATAGATAGATAGATAGATAGATAGATAGATAGATAGATAGATAGATAGATAGATAGATAGATAGATAGATAGATAGATAGATAGATAGATAGATAGATAGATAGATAGATAGATAGATAGATAGATAGATAGATAGATAGATAGATAGATAGATAGATAGATAGATAGATAGATAGATAGATAGATAGATAGATAGATAGATAGATAGATAGATAGATAGATACGCAAAAATTGACTGAAGTTCGCTAAGAAAGGCTTCGCATTTAAAAGCGGTGCTATTGAGCATTTGAGATGACTTGCTGTCTTTGCTGATCCAAGTTTGCTGAGACGCGCTTTTTTTACAGTCAAAGCTGTTATAATTTTACAACATGGTTTACGTGCACGCCGTAGTTGTCCGCCACCGCCGTTGCCACCGCTGTCCGTAACCACTATCGCACGAAATAAGAAAAAAACTCAGTAAAACAAGACACTAAGCTTAAGGGATCCAAACCCGGGTCCCCTGCGTGCCAGCCCAGTGCTCTACCACTAAGCATGCCGGTGCGTGGAACTCCTTGACAAACTGGCCTTAGGCAGTTTTGAAGTCAGGAAAGCAATCACGCTTATAAAAGTAATAACGTGCTTTGTGTCACACGATGCGAATCGTACAAAGAATGGCTCGTCGAAGGGTCCAATCGTTTGCAAAAGCTCGATCTTTTTCACATATTATTTGTGCCTCCAACCCACTGTAGGGGCTTGCGTGGATTACAAAAGCTTCTGCAATAATTCTTCATCGTCGTCAATCTTAGAACAAAAAAAGTTGCACAAACTTACTTCCAAGTGCGCAGCAGGTACCACACTTCTCATAGAATGACGAAGGATGGCGTAGTGAATGCCTGTCTACAATTACTACCACTCTTCCAGCTTTCGCTTTGACAGTGCTGCGCTTTCCGTTCAGGCCTGGCGTTTTTTTTTTCAAAGTTTATTAGGAGAAGTTCCGTTTGACGTAATTCAGCAGCGGTATTTCCTGCCCACCTAGTGCTTGAAGTTTCACAATCACTTGGGTTGGGTCTTTAAGTTTTGATGATTATTATACTAAATCGCGTGTTTGTGATTTTGTTATTAGGGGGATAAAAGGGCATGCCATAAATTGTCACGTCATAAAAATTTTCCACATGAGCTACAAGTTATAAATGAAAAAGTATTCATATAGTGTTGTTGAATGATCACTTCAATGTAACATCTAAGTAATTTCCGACTCGTCATCGAGTTCATTGACGAAGACGGACACATGCACATTGCTGCCATAGCATATTTGATTATTGTTACGTGAGTAACAAATCAATATATTGCAAATATATTTGGAAAATATATTTGCAAGAGCGGTTGCAGAGCTGGCCAGTCTGGCTCCGAGCTCGAGCAGCAAGCGACCTTCATCCTCTTCGTTGGGCGCACACGCGCATAGTCAATACGCATTGCGGCCGCCTACATGTACCAATTAGTATTGCTTAATAAAATAACCTGCATAAAATAACGTTAGAGTAGAGCAGCGCAGCTGGTGATGACAGAAAACAGGCGTGGTTATATAACAGCGTTGGATCGTGTCATGAATTTCATTTTGCTACCTTTAGTTTAAGTTACTTATGCACGTTAAGTTTTATATTTCCATTAACTTTAGTGCTTTCACTCTTGTACTGTAAGCCTTATCTTGGTCCTACTTGAGCACGTTACACTGCTGTATGTTGTAATAAGTGCCGACTCTAGCCTCAGCCCTGAACTCCAAGACCATAATACACAAAAGAAAAAACAATTAGTTTTAAGGTCATGAACAATCTTTATATATAAGTATCGTTTGCACAAAACACTGCCTAATACATGCGGTAACGCTGTTTGTAGTTTATGCTTATTTTGAACTGAAATAATAACTGCGATACTTTTTGGTGCTATTCGAATCAAGTGTATTTCAATTTTTCTGTGCTCTTGGAATCTTTGCGCCTTCTAAGGCCATGTTGAAAATTTAATATTGCCGAGCAGCCTCTCCCTTAAGCTTGAACGCCAACTCATCAATCTCGCTCTCCGTGAGCCGACAAAGTGACATGCATTGCATCATTGTCTCTGGTATGACATTACAGCATGAAATGTAATGTAATCAATCGCCTTTTGTGCAAAGGTCGCAAAAGCTGCTTAACGACGTCTTGGCCAAACTACGGTTCTGTTACACGTTATGTCTGCAAAACAATGGGTCACGAAGCAGGAGACTGCAAATGCCCAAACTTTACTCTTAGATGTTAAAATGACACTGACGTTCTGCCAGTATCTGTTAGTGAATAAATCAACTTGACTACTGTGCACAAATGCTGAACAGCGCCAGCGCAGAGAAGTTCACGGAGTTGGTTCAAAGCTCCCGCTCTACTCTCTTTAGTAATTTCATGACAGTGTGGCCTGAAAACTTATGGCCCCTCGTATACACCGAAACAACAGCGCCTATTGACCACCCCCCATTGTGACTACCCCCATACCTCCTATTATTATTCACTACGTTGGTGTTGAAAGTGTAATCAAGTCCTTAAAGCCTTCCTCGTCTCCTGGGTGTGATACGATCAGTCCTAAATTTTTTGAAAAACACCAGCTCTTGTTGTTCAATCATACTAACGGAGATATTCGAACAATCGCTTCATGAAGGCTGTCTCCCCATCGACTTTAAGATCGGAAAGATAACTGCACTTTTTAAAACTGGTAACAAACATTCACCGTCTAACTATCGGCCTATCTCGCTAACCAGCATACCTTGTAAAATACTAGAACACATATTATATTCCAAACTGGCAGGTTTTCTCGAATCTAACTCGTTTTTTTCCAAGTGTCAACACGGTTTCAGAAAAAAGTATTCATGCAAGACTCAACTTGTATCTTTCACCCATGAATTAAACATCATTCTTGATCATTCATCTATCGCAGATTGCATTTTTTAGACTTTTGCAAAGCTTTCGATAAAGTATGTCATAAGTTGTTACTTCACAAACTACAAAATCTTAATCTTGATCCGAAATTTTTATTTTGGCTTGAATGTTTCCTTTCTAACCACGCTCAGTTTGATGTAGCTGACGATAACGTCTCACCCCGAACGAACGTCTCTTCTGGAGTCCCTCAAGGATCTGTCCTGGCTCCCCTGCTCTTTCTTATTTACATTAACGACTTACCTTTATCTGTTACTTCTCACGTTCACTTGTTTGCCGATGACTGCGGCCTCTTTCGTGAAATATCTAATGACAATGACCTATTAACCCTTCAATTCGATGTTAACGCTATTTCTGTGTGGTGTAAAACATGGGTAACGGAACTCAACACTAGCAAATGCAAATTCCTTCGCGTATCTAGAATTAACCGTATATTGCCCACTTACTATCGGAACGATGCTCCACTGGAATCTGTCAGCACTTACAAATATCTCGGAATACATATTACTACCGACCTCACTTGGTCCGTGCATACCACGTACGTAAATAATAACGCTAATCGCATGCTTAGCTACGTAGGTCGAAATTTCTCACAGGCTCCTTCAACACTAAAACTAGCTCTCTACAAGACGCTTATTCGCTCCAAACAGGAGTATGCTGCATCAGTTTGGGTTCCTAACCAAGAAAATCTAATACACTCACTTGAAATGGTTCAAAATAACTCTGTTCGTTTTATACTCTCTAACTACAACCGGACTGCCAGCATAAGCACTATGAAATCCAGCCTCGGATTACCTTCCTTATCATCTCGTAGGAAAATCCTTCGCCTTTGTCTTTTCCATAAGTTTTCTATCACAGCCAGCTACGAAACGAACTCATTCTGCCTCCTCGGTACATTTCAGCTCGTATAAATTATGTCCATAAAGTCGGCTTGCCGTGCTGCAGAACAAACTCCTTTACCCAGTCATTCATACCGCGTACATCACAACAGGAATAGAACCACCTACCCGCACTGACGGCAACAATCTCGGACCACCAACTTTTTAAAACTTCTTTAGCTAACATTGTATAACGTGTAACACTGAAGTACATTGCATTCTCCTGGTTTTGTTTTGTTTATACCTTTTTTCCTCTGTTTTATATTATGTTTGTAACTATTGTAACCCACTCCCCTCTCTCATGCCTCTGGCCCTGAGGGTACCTAAAAAGATAAATAAATAAACAGCGCTATATTGTGAAAGTACCAGCTTTTCGTCAGTGAGTTGGTGGATCTCAACATCTGTTCAGCGTAAGCCTAATGTCGTTCAGACATACTCCTTGTGGCAAGGTACGACTGTCTCTTAATGTTTTCTTACTTTTTGTTTTTGTTTTGTCAGTAGCACTACGCGCATTAATGCGCTTTCTTTTCAGCCACATTCGACACTGCTGCATACTGACCAATGTGAATTTTATTTTGTTATTAGCAGAAAGTTCCTTTTTTACAATGTGAATGGTACGCTATAATTATTTCTTAGCCATTTTACTCGTTCCTGTTGCTTGAAGATACGCGACAGAGGTACTGCTGAGGCTGGTGCATGCGAGTGGCGTTTTTCATTTCTCAAGATGCTGTGTCTAAATACGCAGGTAAGTCCACCACGCTTCACCTCGGGATATTAGCGTTGCTGGCGTAGCGTGTTGGACATGTATGTACTGCAGGCTCATTGCCGCAACAGCGCGAGGAACGACGGACCAACAAACAAGCACTCTGTCAGTCTCTTCCTATTGGTCTGTTGTTTCTTAAGCTGCTGCGCCTTAAGGCGTTATGGGAACATTGCATGCATCATAGGCGCAGAGAGCAGCAGGGGTAATGATTGTGGCCAAAGATTACGTTGGTTCGGGGCGCCCGAGCAAATTATATTTGCGTCGTATGCCCATTATGTAAATGGCGGAAATGTTTCCATGTCATCATCAAAAAGCTGTGCAATTCTCTCTCAGTCGTTTCGAGCATTCGTTGTAGGGTTGAACGAAAAGAGTAAAAACAATCGAACCTTCAGAATCACATCCGTCAACTAGGTCTGGCCAGTTGCAGGAGTGTGTGGCATCGTCATACGCAAGTCCTGGTTCACAGTTGGTCAAGTTGGCAAGCCCGAACTCGCACTTGAAGTATTGCAAACAGCTTCCACTGGGAAAGATTCCGAACTGCCACGGGCAGTCAGGAGAAGGAATAGGACCCGCTGAAAAAAAAAAGGAAGCGTGGTCTGACCTTTAATTACACATAGTAGAATTCTTAGGCATCGAGGTAAACTTAGAAGTAGCAGAATATTATAAGTGTGTTGTGCCGAAGACTGCAAGGAAGGTTAACGAAAGGGCCAAAGTGTCACTGTAAATTAAAGTGCCATCTGTTTTTTTTTTTCATCCGCGCACGTACTTTCGTGGATCTAAAAAATTAAATTTCTTCAGAAATATTAAGAAATGACTTTTCAAAAAGTCACAGTTTTGCCTCAACGGCAAAGCAATGAATGTGATAGTGACAAATTTGATATTATAGTAAGTAAGGTTAGGAGCCAAATTTTTTTAGAAACGATACGCCGAGGTAGAACCATGGATATATATCGTGCTCAGCTGCTGACCGGAACGACGCTGGTTCTATCGTTACCGCAGTAGTTGCATTTTGATGGAGGCGAATGGTAAGAGCCCGTGTACTGTGCAATGTCCATACCGGTAAAGAACACCAGATTGTCAGAATTTTCGGAGCCCTCCACTACGGCGTCTCTCATATTCATATCGAGGTTTCGGGACGTAAAACCCCAGATACCATTATTACTAATTGAGGAGGCGATCTTGCGTTACTCTATAAAACGTTGGCTTAAAGGTACGTGGCTGCTCCATTGAGTAGAGCGGTTTTCTGAGTTGTCTCCTACAATGCGGAGTTAGCGGTGACACCTTGGCACGTAGAAATGTACGAGCCTGTCAGGATTGCGCGCGCGCTTAACGCAAACTGGTAGCGTTAGGCCGTCGGCGCTATCTCGCGGCATGATAAACTAGCCTCTGTGGCGCTGAAGCAGCCCAGAGATGCACGCACCACCAGCTGTACAAATTGTCTTTAAATAGCTAGTCATTTGCATGCTAAAACTTGTGTGCCGTCTGCAGCGACGAGTAGCCATGAATCAGCCCTTGTTTGTTCGATTGCAAGGTCATGCACAATTCTGAGTAAACTTGCTTCAGTAATATTTTTCACATACATATAAATCATATACGTAACGCAATGGCAACGGCGGCAAAAACCCACCGAGAGTGTGCCTGTAATCGCTATAGCAATAAAGTTTATTGCAACATCACTTATGGAGATTCTCTAAGCGAAAACTGTTCACGGCATCCCACGGTGGCCTTTACAAGGCCCTGCATGGTGCGATCGTATCGGTGACAGCAGGTAGTACGCTGTGAAACAAAAAAAAATAAAATGTCTTCACGTGCTGAAGCGCAGCAACATTGAAGGAGAGAAAAGGCAAGCACGACCGACAAAGGGGAGGGAGTTAAATGCACCTGAAATGTGCATCTTCTGATCTAGCCAGCACAGCTTCGGGGCAGCAGGAAAGTTCTAAAATATCATTCCATCTCTCAAGCACAAGTAATCTGTGGCAATTCGAAAGACTCGGTCGCTTCGTTCCTCCACTGGCTCTCCCAGATGTCCTTGCATTCAGTACTGATTGTCACGTTCTCGAAAACGAGAAACAGATCGATGTGATCGCTCACTTCTGCTACGGTGCCTAGAATACGCTTTCTAGTGTGCCGACCACCGGGTGTCTCCAAGGTGATATGGTGGCACGCGCTACAATGCCTGCCTCCGTGAACCACCGGATGGTGATACCCGTCGAGACCCTGACAAATAATGAGCTGAATAACACTGTACCAGCAGGGTGTTCCGACGCGCGTTGGGTTGTAATCTCCTGGTTGTTATGCGTTCATTTTATGTTGCTCACTTGGCGTTTTGCTGACGTAGTCTTGCAGTTTTTTTTTTTTGTGGTGGTGGTGTTCTTTTTTTTTTTTGTGAGTGAGAGAGCTTATCTGAGCAAAGAGACTGAACTATGATGTGCAAGAAACAGATCAGAAAAGAACCGATGCGTTTTGTTTCATATTCGGTGAGTACCTTTCAGGCTGCGCACCTCATTATTAGGTGGGCCTGCGGACAGCGAAAATTTAGTGGTTTGAGACCAGAACATGACGAGGGTACATTGAAGAGTTACCAGGTGGTCTACATGTGAGAAACGCTTCAAGGACCACTACGTCCAGCGCTTGCTAAGCTATGACACTTGACCGCACCAAAACTAAAATTTCTTTCAACAAAGCTTGCCTCACAATTGATGCCGCTCCTGCTATATCTGAAGATATTTATTCGCGTCAGGTGCTCGACTGAGAGCCTAACGTCAGAACGCTATGTGGTGAAGAACCTGTGAATGGTCAGAGGCGGCTGGCTTTATGCAGGAATCGTCGTGCTCGCAGGGTACCAGGAACGCGACCCCAGCTGTGGCCGGGCAGAACGAGAGAGTCAGCCCATGAGTCCGTCCGTGTTTCAGCGTGATCTGGCAAGGTCAGCGCTCTTTTAAAATTGGGCACGGTCTCACTGCGCAACACACCAACCAGCCGGTGGTGGTTGCCATCATTCGTGGTGCCATATCAGCAGACATTCATAGAAGATTCTAGTCAATACGCTTCTGCTCGCTGTCCGTGATTCCACTCTTATAGGCATCAGGCTTTGCAGACTTTCAGCTAGATGTGTTAACTTGTTCGGAGGCACGTGCTACCACATGCACAACAAAATAAGAAATATTTCCATGGTTAAACGTGCGTAAACCAAACTGGTCGAGCAATATCCCGGTTTTGCTTGACATCGCTGTGCTTATAACCTCGAAAAGGCCCCCCTTTCTTCTCTCGCCTCTCCAGCCTGTTCAGTGCATTTCAACCCAACGTATTGTCGTTGGCTGCCGCCGCTTGAGAGCAACTGTGCGTTCAATCGTCGCTGCCGTTTTTCGTAATATGAGACAGAGAACTTCGGAGAACAACTCAAGCTTGTGATGTTTGGATTACGGTCATTGTTTTAAGAATGAGTATGCACAGGATTAAAAGCCCAGAGCATGAGCAGGTAGGTGCTGGTGTGTGGGACTCGTCATGGCTACTCGCCTAAGGGAGTCTTCCGTGCATGTTCATACGACGTTTGACCCACGACAGCGGCCAGTATCGTTTCAAGTGGTACATGAAGACATTGTTAGAGAATTGGTTATGTCAAGAGAGAAAAGTTTGAGTATGATACAACATAACAAACAGCTTCGCTCATCCTCTGTTTCCACAAAGTGGAAGGGCTTCGAATTTTTCATGCCAGCATTGCCAGTCTTTCCGTGAACAGTTTTTGCGGCAAGGGAAAGAAATTAATTTGGTGAAAAAATCTATGGCATGAACTGAGAAATTCCGTTTCATACGGGCAATTCACCAGCCAGGAAACAATGCCGAAGAACAGTTATAGTCTGCTGTTACTACATACGCTTTTCGATGCGGTCGCCGCAGTCCACACGCCAATTGTAGTTGCAGAAGTCGTAGATGCCTCCGTTGGGGTCGAAGAGAAGTCCGTTGGGACACACCTCCTCGGTGACTGTGCCATTCTCACAGCGGGTGTAACGGTCGCAAGCTGTCGGGTGAGGCCATGCCAGCAGGCCCGGGTCCGGGCAGTGTCGTGGTTCCACCACAAATGGGACAGCACCTGCATTATTCCAAAGCGCCGGTGCTTGGAGGTTCATAATAACACAGCAGTAACAAGATCTATGCGATGCCTGTTGCGCGACACGGGTGCGAAGCTGCTAACGCTAATTGTATTGGAAAGCCTGGAAGCTACACAAACAGAACCGTCGCCTAATTTTAAATGTAGAAAGAAAAGAGTATGGTGCGAGGGGCTCGTAACAATTTTAGGGCATTGCCTAATGAAGCCAATGGTGTCAACAAGCCAAAAAAAGCCTAGAATACACCAACTGCAGCTTTTAGCCATCTTTAGGTATTTTCAATAATCATCTGTCTGGGGGGGGGGGGGGGATGTTTATCTTTTACCTTGCATGGACGACGCCCTGGACTGCCTTCAAGGAGCCTATTATTCCTAATAACTGAATTCGCCCTAAGGCTATTGGCAAGTGCCCCTGGATGAAGCTGACCATCAGAAAACATCGTTTGCCATGCTTTATGCTTTACACGAGCTTAACGTGATGCCTTTCGGCATTTGCAACGCGCCTGCACCTTTCGAGAAAATGATGGACACCATTCTCAGAGGCTTGAAATGGCAGACCTGTCTATATTGCTTTGATGACGTAGTGGTATTTTCTGCGAATTTTTCATCTCATATCCTTCGCCTTAAGCAAGTTTTACAATAAAAGCTGTTATGAGATCATAACTCGTGTCACGCGCAGTTATCCACCACATCGCGCGAAACTAGAGAAAAAAAAACTAGCACCAATGACACAGCGGGGCTTGCAACCGGATCCGCTTAGCTCCTGCCCAGTATTCTACCACTGGGCTACGCTTGTTTCTTTTTTTCTTTTTTCTCAGTGCGTGTGACTCGTTGGAAAAGTTGCCTTAGGCAGGCTTGATGTCGAGAAAGCGATAGTAGTAATACGATTGAAAAAGCGTTTTAAAATATCGAAAGAAGAACCAGTCGTCGCAAAATAGAAATAGCATAACGAGTGGGTCATCCAATGCTCCAACCTATTAGAAAAGCGTGTCCTTGTTCCCTATTAACTGTGACGCATAACTACTTCAGCCATGATTCCTCATCGTCGTCAGCCACTGCATGAACAATTGGCACGAAATTCTTCGCAAGTGTTTAGCGTGTACCACGCTTCTCAGAAGAATGACCGAAAATAGCATAACGACTGCCAGCCTACTACCCAAAAGTTCATTATTAATGCCGCAGAGAGCATCAAGCCAGCGTGCTTGCAGAAGTTACCCAATGAGTGTTTAGAAAAGGCTCTGAAAGGCCGCTATTCTGGCTTTCGCTGTGACTGTGCTGCGCCTTCCACGCAGGCCTGGCGTTTTCGAGTGACTCATTACCACCGGCTTACAGTCAAATTTAAAGAAATGTCATTTTGACGCCCGTCAGCTTAGCAGCCCACGTCGTCTTGAAAGAAGGAATTTTGCCAAATCTTTTCAAACTTCAAGCAGTTACCGAACACTGTAAACACGTTTTAGCCTTTTAGGGAGTTTTTGGCTCTTGTTCCAGCGTGCATCCCAAAGGTAATAAGTGAAAAACCCTCTAAAATGAGGTTTTCGCTAACACCCTTATTGCGATGTTTTTGCAGAGTCTCTGGGGAGTTTTGTCTTCCTCTTTTCGACACCAGAGTGCTAAGGGGATACGTAGAACAAGATGGCGGCGCATATTAAAGTGAATGCTGTTCGCTTCTAATCTTTCTAGTGGTCAGCCTGCTTTATTACACTCATTCATTGACAGATATTTCTCGTATTTGATTTAGAGTGAAGTTATCAAGCTTCGCTAAATGTCTATCACCGCCAAAATAGCTCCGTTTTAGGGATAAATGGCCGATTTGTGTTGGCAAAAGGCTTAACAAGGTTTGTTTACGAAGTAAATGGGGTCAAAAGAGGGAACTGACGTTGGTGTTTTTATTTAACTCAATTTGGAAGCTTGAATAAAGCGAAGTGAAAGTTTTTCTGCTTCTTTTGAGAGTCTTAAAAGCACCCTTTTATATGCCACCAAAAAAACGTATTTCAGACACAAAATTAGACGTTTGGAGACATCTATTGCTTTTATTCATCGCAGGGACATATTCGAAAACGTACATCAATGCATTCACACACAAACATGACATCTGCGAAAAAATACGCATGAAACAAGAATCGAACTCGTGACCACACGCACTGAAAAGAAACACGATAAACATTACACCACAGCACAACTTTTTTTCATATTATTCACGGACGTACTTGTGTAATAAAGACAAAATCAAGCAAACAAAAGTACAATCAAATGGCGACAATAAGCGCTCAAGCGTTACTCATAAACATTCAATGGCTAACACAGCGTGAGTTCTTCACATCGAGAGTTTTTCACATCGTATTATGCAAACAAGAAAGGGGTAAGGTCAAACAGCTCTCCAAGATGGAGTACCAATCTGGTCTAAAGTCTAGCTCGTCCTAAATGTTTTGAGGTGGATAGCCATTTGAATGAAGTGTGTGCTTGAAGAGGTGATGGGCTCTTCATTGCAGCCTTGTATTGACGTCTTCAACAAGCTGTGCATACTCATGAGGAAAAACATATCGTGTGGCATTTCATCAAGCGCTGCTGGTAGAAGATAACGTATTGTGTGAGAATTAATGACGAAACGTTTCTTAATGCCAGCTGAAGGACATAGCAAAACAGTATGGCATCTTTGCAGCTAACAAAGCAATGTTCAATCGTTCTTGGCGCATCACATAGACGGCAGTTACCAGACGGACTAAAAATACCTTTTCTTTTTAACCATCTGATTGATATGAGGGGTTTAACGTCCCAAAACCACCGTATGATTATTAGAGACGCCGTTGTGGAGGGCTCAAGTAATTTCGACCACCTGGGGTTCTCTAGCGTGTACCTAAATCTGACCACACGGGCCTACAACATTTCCGGCTCCATCGGAAATGCAGCCGCCACAGGAAATGGTAATTGTCTCAAAAAAAAAAGAATCGTGACACTATTTGCCATAGATAAAGCTGTTCTAATTCTAACCCACCCTTACTAACTGACTTGAATGTATTATCACGACTCATGGGCTCAAATGTTGAAGACCATATGAAAGTAGCGAAAATCCGATGAAAGCGTTGTTTATAAAATCTTGCGTAATGAATAAGTTGCAATAAATAGTAAAGGTGTGTTGCTAAGTTAGTATTGCAAGCTTCAGCTCTCCCAAAGATTGAAAGTCGATAGGGAACAAATGTCTGGGACTGTCGTTCAAGCTTAGAAAGCATTCCTTCCAGTAATGCGCGCTGAATCTATATGCATGCAATTGTACACTGAGGTATGTTGGAAGAGTTCTTGTCCAATTAATCCCTGCTAATTGGTTTGGTGTGCTACCTCACAAGCCAAACCAGTCTTAAATGCTTAGAGGCATTTAAACGAGCTCCTGATACTACTGCAAACTTTTCAATATAGATACCACATTTTCCACACTTGGCTTGTCTGTGCAAAAGAATGCGACATCGTCTGCATTAGCTAACACTGTAACGTCAATGCCTAATATACTGAAGCCATGAATGCAACTCGACTGTATTATGCTTAAGCATAGTGGTTCTACACAAAGTGCAAATAGAAGAGGTGACATTGGGCATCCCTGTTTTACAGAAGAGCGAATAGAAACAGGCTTGGAGAGTTGACCATTTATCAGACGAGTTGGGCATTCATAATAGCATAGTTTAATGCCTTTAGGGACAACTTTTCCAACATCGGCCTGCTCGAGAAGAGAAAAAAGGTAGGAATGACAAACATGATCAAAAGCTTTTACAAGGTCTACCTGTAGCATTGCAAGATGTTTGTGAAAACCATGACAGTATTGAAGCACTGTACAAGCCCCATGTATATTGGTTTGTATGGATCGACCCCTGATTCCACATGTCTGATGATACCCAATGAGGATCGACATAGCAAATGGAAACCTATTCGATAATACTTTTGCGAAAATTTTGTAGTCCACGTTTTACAGCGATATTGGTCTGTCAGTGATATCTCAGTGTGCAGCAGTCATGGATTGTAGTGTAAAGGAATGCAAAGTGAGTAAGATTGACGTTGTTACGAAACTCGCTGTCGATGAAGAAAACATGCTTGACACCTTTATCCTCAAATTTATGTGCACAATATTTAGCTGCAGGTGGTAAAACTTTCTGTACCTCCCCACTACAGTGTCACTCATGATGATATGATGATTTTTGGACATAAAATAGCAAAACTTACGCCCCTTTGCAATGAAGCGCGTGAAATACTAGCCTATTCAACAGCCCCAGCTATTCTGTTTAGGTCCCTGATTGGGTGACTTGTTATTGATTCATGGCAAAAGTAAACAGAAAACTTGTAATGATGACAAAAGAAGAGCCAGACACAATACCAGCACTTGCTACCTTGCCAGCAAATGTCTCAATAGTCAGAATTCGCTGTGTTGATCACAAGCGCTATGACAACGAATTGTAAAACAAAATAACCAAAAGGAAGGATCAAGGTGACTAAATAACAAGGTTCAAGAAATTCACCTGACTGATACGAATTCAATTAAATTAGTCATGTATAAGTGACACATCTCCTAAATGTTATAAATATTCACATGTAATCTTGGCAAGCTCAAGTGCTGATATGTGACTAATGAAGTGACAATACCATGAAATGCACGTGCTCCCTCAAAAACGCAGTGTCACTAACCACATGTCTGTGACATCATAAGATCTTGATTACGTCTCTTTAACATAATTTATCTTTCAAGCTAAATGCAATGTAATTTTTTCCTCTACGACACAGTGAAGTCTTCTTACTAGCTCGTGAAGTCTTCTTACTAGCTCATATTCTGGGCATAAGAAGAGAATAAATAGAAAACAAATTTGCCCTATACACATTTCTTCACATGGCAGCCCGATAACAGTGGTTGTTTGTTTTTGCTTGAGTGTATACTCCCTGAAAACACTGTTCCATTCATGCTTTATCGTAACTAAACAAATTATGTCGCACAAACTTGCCTTTTTAAG